AATCAAAGTTGAGTGGGTTGGAAAAAAATGTTGCATATTAAAGAAGCTGAGGCAGGGAACTAAGTGGGAATATAGACAACCTGTATGACAAGGAGAAATACTAGAAAATATTTATTCATTACTAGTTGGATAAAATCAAGTGTGTTAGGTCTGCTGTCAGAGAAACTTTTTTTTTTAATTATTTAGACATAGAGCACTTGCTTTTGTTGTCTGTGATTTTTGTATATAACTTACATGATGTGGGTACAGAAATTTTATACTGTTAAAATAACCTAAGTCAGTAGTGTTTGAACCTCAACATTTTATGGGTCTTGCTGCCCACTTCCATTCAGTTGCTAATCAATTCTGATGTTTTTCAGGGTCCTGATTCCCACTATGGAACAAAAGGTTTGAAGAAAGTGATCCACGAATCTCCTACTGCTAGCAAAACATGCTTTGTCTTTTATAGTTCACCAGGTAACAACAATGGTACATCAATAGAAGATGGACAGATACCAGAAATAATATTTTATACATAATTTCACGTGATCATCTCGAATGTGTCAGCGTATCAGCGGACTTCAGCTCACTATTGGCGGCAGTTAAATGCCGTGAAATTACATGAATGTGTAAAAACGAAACTAATTTGTTTGAGAGGTACCAGAAAAGCGATTTTCTCTGCATCGTTACTGGCAGAATGTAATTTAGCTTTTCCTCTTAACAAAACATCAAGTGGAATAAGTACTCTGTATATTGAAAAGTTTGTTTCATATAGTATCTTGTGATTAATTGCTTTGTCTTTTCACCCCTTCATTTCTCATGTAGTAAAATTCATTTTCTGAACTGGAAAATCGTTAGTCATAATGAACTTCTTGTGTACGTTTTCCCCAACCTGTCGTAAAAGACAGTAAAGCTGCTGCTGTAGTCCCAGCTTATACTTCGTTCCAAAATGACCTTGGAATGACCCTATGGACATGAATTGCTACTGTATTTTTTTGAAGTACATCAGCAAAGCTGGATTCATATTGCTGTCGTATTGACTTTTTGGATGAGCTGCGGAGAATTAATGGACTTAGCATTGCAGGCAGCATCTGCAGCTGCACTGAAGAAATACTAAGTCAAATTCAGCAATAAACAGATCTTTCCAGAATCTGACTTAATTCAGAAGGGCTGTTTTGGAACATAGAGCTGGTTATGGAAATAGCCACTGTATATACATATGTGCCTATAAGAAAATGTATAATGTGAAAATAAGAATACAAGACTTGTAATGATGTTATTTTATCATTGGATATTCTAATACTAAAAAATTAGTATGAACTGAGGATTGTTTTACAGATTGCATACAATAATTTGATGCAATTGATGTATGTATATGGTATCAGTGTCTTGCAGTATGTACTGTGTAGTAGTAGAACGTCTTCATGTACAAAATGCTGTACCCTCCCCCAAACGATACTAAAGTAATAATTTGAGAACACAGGAGAAAAAAAAAAAACCCTCTCTTCTCTTCCCTAATTTCTCTTTAAGTGCCTGCTACAGTGAAGGTCGTGCAGGTCTTAGGTCTCAAAACACAGTCTTTAAAACAAGCCGTGTATTTCAAACCACCTGCGCGGTACAAATTTTGATCAGTGCTCTCATCTTCCGCCTGACCGGGGGTTTTTCGTTCAGTCAAGAGGCGGACAGCGCTGCTGTAGCACGGCC